TGTAGGGTTACACTTTATCGTGTAATTGAGTTAGGTTTAATTCGTAATCAATTCAAGACCTACTCAGCCAATTATTCTTAACATTTTGGTCAAAGGAATATTTAAAAATTTCGGGTTAGAATTGAACGTCGGAGGTTCACCTACACTCTTTAACTTTCGTCCACATTTTACCTTCTTACTCAATATATGGATCAGAGCTAACTAAACCTCTAAACCAGTGAAGCGATAGCGTGAGACCTCATATTGAACCCCTATTTGATAACTATTATTTTCAAACTCTTTTTTTACACATTCATTTTCAATCACACGTTCACACAATAAAATATTGTACACATAAATCCAATTTTTTTTTCTATATTTTAATTACATATTTTTGTAAAAATTACTATTCAAAACTCTATTTCATCCAAATAATGGCTTTCAAACTGGGCTGTAGGATTTAAGAATTTTCATTCTAAATAGTTTTACCAATAGAATCTCTAAGTATGATTTCTTTTTTTTTTTTTGTAATTGTTAATAGAACTTAATTTAATATATTTAGTTTATTGATGAAAATTTTTATTGCTAAATAAAGTAATAAAAAAGGACAAAAGTGTAAAATAATAATTTAAATAGATAAATATTTTATTTCGCCAATAATATTACTAAAAATAAAATAAAAAGGTAAAGATAGAATAGAGTTATATAGGTAATATCAATAACAAAAGCATTGTTGATGTTAACCGGCGATATCACTTTTTATATTGTCGTCAATTTAACTATACCGATGATAATTGACAATATTATTCTTGATAGTTTCATTTTGACTCACTATTGGCTGGTATATGCCATTCTGTATTTTATGTAGGCTTTTCTCATTTCAATAACACCAAGTCCAAGAAATTTAGAGAACTGCTATGTGTACAGAATTTTTGTACAGATTTATTGATATCTCATATTCTATCAACAAATCTATAACCCAATTTATATGTAAGTAGCCAAATTGAGAAACTTAACCCCTTATCTCTCTCACACAAACATACAAATTGAGAAACTTAACCCCTTATCTCTCTCACACAAACATACTCACAAATTTGCTTATATTTTGTCCCCCGGAGCATATCCTAATGGTGCAAAGGACAGGAGTGATGTAATCTCAGCGTTGCTGATAGCTGCCGTGTGAAAGTTCGATTCCTGAGATATGGAATTAGACTCTTTGTGGGCACCAGTGCATAGGCAAGCTCTTGTTCCCTGACTTGCTATAATACATCTCGGGATTTACCTCCCTCACGATACTCCAGAGACGTGACAGTGGGGTTCTCAAGGTTGTGATTCATCCTTTCAATTTGCTTATATTTTTGTGGTGTCTCAATCCACAACTTGAAGCTGGTTGACTTTTACACTGGCCAATTATCAATAAAATAAACAAAACTGACGCATAAAAGTTTGTCCAAACTTCTGTGCCCTTAAAGCCAAAGCATCTATAAAACGAACCCAAAACACACACACATTCACTTCCAAACTTTCGTTCATTTCCCCCTCTTTCAAATCTCAGCCATGGATTCCCTTAGCTGTGCAGCCTCAGATCTCCTCCCCTTACTAGGCAACAGCCCCAACGCCACCGCGGCGGCAGACTTCATTTGCAACCGCTTCGCGGCGGTTTCCACCAAGCTCTTCGATGCCAGATATGCCATTGACAATACGTACTTGCTCTTTTCTGCATACTTAGTTTTTGCCATGCAATTAGGTTTTGCTATGCTGTGTGCTGGTTCTGTGCGTGCCAAGAACACCATGAACATTATGTTGACCAATGTTCTTGATGCCGCCGCCGGTGGCCTCTCCTACTACCTTTTTGGCTTTGCTTTCGCATTTGGTGCGCCGTCGAATGGATTCATTGGTCGTCATTTTTTTGGACTCAAAGAATTTCCTTCCGAGTTGTTTGATTACAGCTATTTTCTGTATCAGTGGGCTTTTGCCATCGCAGCTGCAGGTAATATTATAGAGCATCTCCGATAGACTCTTTCAATATAAGATAATTTCTATTTTAAAGAGTCAATCTTTATATGTTCCAAGACATTTTAATTTGTGAGCGAAATTTACTATCTATAGTTGAATGCATTCAAGGTATTTCAATTTTTAATGAAGAAAAATAATATAATAATTTAGAGGAAAGATAATAGAAAAAAAGGGAAAACAATACATATTTTTTGAGAGTAGTAAAATTAGCCCTTGCTTGAGCCCCATTTTTGGGGTAAGAATGAATTTTTGAACAGTGTATTGATGGGAAATGTGTGGTTAAAAAATAAGAAAAAATTTTGAATTTACGTGTAATATTATTTTATTGAATAATGTGTAGTTGAAATGATATCAAAACACTGTTGAAAAATGAATTTTTCCAAAAAAAATAGGGCTCAAACAAGGGCTTAATGTTAAATATAAACAGCCTGCTGGAAAACTTTTTATGTTTTTTTCTAAATTTATAGGTGCTCTCTAAATTATAGAATCTTGCAGTTTACTCAATCATTCATTGACAAATCATTTTACACCTATTTTTAAGCACGAGTTGCATGAGAGAACAGTTGGTCATGTTAACTTAAAGTAACGTGTTAATGGATTATTGGATGGATAGCAAGTTGGATGATCAATTTTGGACTACGAATCTCAACACATCTAGAAGATGCTCTAAGTAGTTTATTAACTTATAATTAAAGAAGTTATGACTTTTTACAGTGCAATGAAAGCATGAAAGTGAAAGCCTTGACACTCGAACAAAGCATTCAATGAAGATTTATAGAGGACTGAATACCAACATATTTAGGTTCGTGCATTAGAGTTGACTAAAAGTTTAAATTATCAATCATGCTACAGGAATATAAAATTTGACATAATATCACGTGACATTCTATCGTTAAATATTTAAATATAGTTAGCTTTTCCATCCAATCACTTTCTTCAACATGCAATTATGTCTATATTTTTGTCAAAATCTTCTATCAAAGCAATTTTATCCTTAAATTATTAGAAACTTCATCACATCTCATCGCCAGAATCAGAATGACATTGTAATTTTTAATGACACGTTAAGTTATGGGTGATGGTCAAATTTGAATCTGCGCAAATATATTTGGCTAAGCTTAAACGTAAGTGAATTAGCTTACTTTTTTTTTGTTATTAATCATTTATATTTGTCTCAGGTATAACTAGCGGGTCCATTGCAGAAAGGACACAATTCGTTGCATACTTGATATACTCCTCATTCTTGACAGGCTTTGTGTACCCTATAGTGTCACACTGGTTCTGGTCCGGGGACGGCTGGGGTAGCGCGGCTAAATCCGATAATGACATTCTTTTTGGGTCTGGTGTCATCGATTTTGCTGGTTCAGGTGTGGTGCATATGGTTGGTGGCATTGCTGGGCTATGGGGAGCTCTTATTGAAGGACCGAGAATTGGTCGGTTCGATCGGAGTGGTCGGTCCGTGGCGTTGCGTGGCCACAGTGCTTCACTAGTAGTCTTGGGCAGTTTCTTGTTATGGTTTGGTTGGTACGGTTTTAATCCTGGTTCTTTTTTGACAATCATGAAATCATATGGTACTAAGAGGACTTATTATGGCCAATGGAGTGCGGTCGGGAGGACAGCTGTCACTACGACATTAGCTGGGAGCACGGCTGCACTAACGACGTTGTTTGGGAAAAGACTTTTGGTTGGCCATTGGAATGTAACCGATGTATGTAACGGTTTATTGGGAGGATTTGCTGCAATTACCTCAGGATGTTCAGTGGTCGAACCGTGGGCAGCTATCGTATGCGGTTTTATCGCCGCTTGGGTTTTAATGGGTTTCAACAAGTTGGCTGAAAAATTGAAATACGATGATCCACTAGAGGCAGCACAACTCCACGGGGGATGTGGCGCGTGGGGTGTGTTATTCACTGGATTATTTGCAAAAAAGGCATTTGTGAACGAGGTTTACCCCGGACGGCCGGGTAGACCATACGGTTTGTTCATGGGTGGTGGTGGGAAGCTTTTGGGTGCCCAAATCATCGAAATTCTGGTGATTTTTGGGTGGGTCACTGTCACCATGGTTCCACTTTTCTATGCATTAAACAAATTGAATTTACTAAGGATTTCAAGTGAAGATGAAATGGCTGGAATGGACTTAACAAGACATGGTGGGTTTGCTTATATATACCATGACGAAGATGAAAATTCGAATTTGCCTCAATTCAAAATGACTCGAATCGAACCCACAAACACTTCTACGCCCGATCATCAATCCAACACCACCGTGTAGCTTGGTTGACGTGCCACCAATTATACAAAACTTATCGAGCTTTTGGATTAATGATATTAGAACTCCATAGGTGGACTTAGGGAACAAGTGGTAGGCTTTTAATAAGTCAATTACTCGAGTTCTTGTATAATCCCCATTTATAGATGTTTGACAATGGGGTTGTGATTTATAGCTTGCTTTATTTCTTGTTGAAAAATTGAAAGTAATGATATGATCTATGAGCTAAGTATTTGTAAATAAATATCATTATCTAATGGGGGTCAAAATTAACAAGTAGTATGCTCTATTCTCTGTCTTCCTTAAATATGTGGGCAAAGTTGATGAAGAATTTTTTAAAATATATTTCGTGAAAAGTGAGTTTTTCGGGAACGCGTGATTAAAAAAAAATGAAAAAGTCATAAATTCATGTGCAAAATTATTTTATTAGAAGAATGTATGATTAAAAAACTTGTTGAACTCTCTTGCCTTTGAGATTGCAGAAAAATTTGTAAGATCCGAGAGAAAATCTTGCTGGCCCCATAATTTTCACCGTTCTTAAAACAATTTTAAAAGCAAACTTAAATTTGATTCCATATTTGCACATCAAGGTTAAATTCTCAAAAAATAAAATAAAATAAAATAAAATAAAATAAAATAATAAATAAATAAATAAACAGTGAAAAAAAAATAGTTAAAAAACCATATGAAAAAGATACTAATTTTAAAATTTGGTGCAAAATGCAATGCTCCAAACTAAAGCTCTCTATAATTTAAACTTTATATGCTCCAAGAAAATGGTCAAAACTATTCTATAAACATCCTGTAATTCAAGATTAATACAAATGTATATTCAATCAAAATCTATACAGAATTACTGGCAGTTCTCAGCAATTCTAAGTGCCATCATGGATTTGAACGTCGCCAGATCAGCATTTTCAGTGAGTGTCTGGGCTCGTTGGCGTTTCAGAATAGCAAACTCTTCGAATCTGTTTGCTTCAGCTTTAGCTTCTTGCACTTTGAAGAAGTTATTCTGTTGCTCCAAAGCATCTTGTTCAGCAGCAGTCGCTGTAAGATTCAATGTTCATTCATTACATTTAACATCGTAGGAAATAGCAGTTAAATTCACGAACATATTTCATTAGCTTAAAGCTTTCAGTCGAGATGGTTCGACATAGCATCATGACAGATAGATATCTAGATTTAAGTATTGCCACTACACATTTATAAAAATGTTGGCATTTATTAATAAATTTATCACCTTTAGACAAGGTGTAAGCAAATATCTTCATTAATGACTTCAATAGAAGTCAAAACCACTGGATCAGATTACATGAAAATCTTGAGAATTTTAGAATTGCATTTATAAAGATAAATCGATCAAATTTTAACATCACACATATAAGTCACCATAGTCATCCATGCAACCTACTATAAAAGTCACGTGTAACAAGAACCACAAACCCAGTAATACTTGTAACGAATATGGTGAATGTGTACTACCGACATCTCTAAACGGTATACATCTCATGAACACAGATGCGACAATACACGAAATATTCTTTTGTGACAATTACACTTATATTAACAGGTGTAAGTACATAAAAGCACGTATTAGGCAAACTACCTCATATTCCTCATAAATATCCCATAAATGCATAATCGAACAGATTTAAGCACCAATAGAACCAGAACTACAGAAACTAGTTGCTGATGGCACTCACCTTGCAAGAAAGGTGGTTGTTTGCCTCTCCCGGGCTGAGTTCCATGTCGTTTGAATGATCTTTTCTTCCGCAAAACAGTCTTTGGGATCACTTTAGTTCTTCCAGGCTTGTATATCTATCATGGAAACAAATCATTTCTAACTTAAGACAATCAACCCGATGAATGGATCAGCAAGATAATGAGAAAATATGGTTTTGGTACTTCTTTTAGTACATAAAAGATTAAGATAAAAAATAAAATAAAACAAGCCAAAATTGAGGTGTAACTTAGCAAAATATACAAGCTTTCCGTCTACGACGTCTACAGAGCAACACTTATTTAGGTACCATTTAGCCCTTTTGGAAGCGTATCAGACAGAAAAAGCAGATTATACTAACCAGATGAAATTATTAATAAATATTGAAACTGCCAAATTTTGACTTTTGATTAGTTATTCAACAGGTTTTTAACAATACTGAGGCACAATTTTATAATTTTCATCGAAAAAATAAGGAGAGGAAAAAGAGAGAAAGATAGGAAGGAAATATAAAAGGAAAAAAAATGTCATAAAAACCAAAAAAGTCAATGAAAATGACCACATCCATATTAAAGCACAATCGAAATGAGAATAATAAGGTCATCATAAGATTCGAAAAGAATATGAAAAAGGAACATAAATCTCAAAAAATTTGCATACTAAATTTATCATCAAGTCCAAACTGCAAATACATGGAAGGCAAAAATCCATGGTCCTTAGCACAGACTTGCCTTGATTGCTAGAACAAATATATAAAGGAATTATAAGACGTGTTATTAATAATTTTATTCATTAGGAGCTATAAATGCCTTCATATTAGGTACTGCTAAAAGAAAGGAGATATGAAAGAATACATTATAATTTTAAAAATTGGGCATAAACGTGGGTTCATTTGTACCATGTTTAGCCATTTTCATAAAATGTAGAAACCAAAGAACAAAATGGAGACTGTGCACCCATTTCCCCATAAGAAGTAAACAGAACAATAGTGGCATGTTTTGCAACATGGATTAGCTTTGTTTGATTTCCATTTTTTTCAGAATACATTTTTCTCTCTTCTTTTCAACCACACATTTTTCATTAAAATAATATTACGAGCAAATAAAAAAAAAATCATTATTTTTCAACCACATATTTTCCACTAATCTACTATTCTAAAATGCATTTTTCATAAAAATGGGGCTCAAATACCCTCTAGATAGCACTAGACATATTAAGAAAGAAAAATAAAAACAAAAATCTTGTTTTTTGTACTGTCTAACACGGTCTACCACTGCATACGTAACAAGCAATAAAAATTTTAGGCAAACAGGAAAAGCTTTCACTGACTTTTGTATTACCTGGAAAATCCTTACTAATGCTGAATGTTTTTGCCCTCGTTTTTGAATCCAATAACTACGCACAGCATCTACAACTTCCTTTCTTTCAAGATCCATTCCTACACCGTCAGCCACTTTCTCATCAGACCAATAATCTGCATTACTGTGAAAACCTCTTTCAAGTGCATCAATTATCAACTCGAATCTCTCAGGGATGACAAGCTGATGAAGGTCCTTTTCTCCACTGAATTCATTATTGAACTTGTTAAGCCAATCCTTGTCCTCGCAGTCCATGTCATAATTGGCAGTCCTCTTTTCCAAAGCCCTGGTTAGTTCATCATCTTTTACAGCAATGTATGAATCAGGTCTGACATATGGGATGTCTGTATATGGAGGTTCCACTACCTCACGTACCCCAGGAACAGGAATGACAATTGTCACGGGCATCTGTACATTGTGATTGTAGCATTTATTGTATAGTTCCTTGAAAATCAACCAATCTTGTTTACAAGGAAATTCGAGCTTCCAATTACTGTTCCCGCTCCATATTATGGCATGAGTTACACGATCAAAACTAGATGGCCTCATATCTTTTAAAGCACTGAGGCTATATCGTTCTATCCCGTCCTTCTTAACCGCAAGAAACCAGTTTTTCGAAGCAGATACTTCTAAGGTAATGATGGCTCCTTCTTCCCTATAACATTTGTCCATTTCAACAACTAATACATTAGCAATACAACTATTAGCATCTATATCTTCTTGTGTCGACCCCAAAAGAATAGAATTTAAGGTGGCATTTATGGTGGAACTGCCCTTTATAGAACTCTGAACTACATGGCCGGTTGGTGTAATTGAGGAATGGAAACCATCAAGTCTACCTCTCTGTGCATGGAAAACTGAAGAAGGCCTACCTCTCCTGCGCCCCAGAGAAGTCCTTGGTTTCTGAATACTGTGGCTGGTTCTTAATTGATTATTTTGAACAGGCAATTTCGACAATCCAAAGGTTGAATGTGACAATTCCCTCCACCCAGAATCATCAATCTCAGATGACACCATGGTGCAATCAGATTGATCTGTCCCAGAAGGAATGTCAGAGGAGTGTTCCTTCTCATAGTCTGTCATTTTCTTAACCTTCCAATTTGCAACAAAAGAATGCATCACAATAGATCTAAGATGCATACTTGAATGCAAAAGCATAAAGGAAAATGGAACTGCAGAATAATCCACTGTAAACACTGGTATCGAAGACCTGGATTCCGAAATTATGCAAAATCCAGGTTTTTCGAATGAAGTAGGGCCCTGAAACATGAAGAAGAAAGAAGAAAGCAACATAAGCCCATTACAGCAATCAGATAAAATTAAACTGATAACTCGAGACCCATGTATCATGAAATGAACTCCTCTATTCACCACTCTTCAAATGGAAAAACCCCACCCCACCACCAAAAATAAAATAAAATCATTATTATAACAAAAATTGCTTATTACTTACACAATATAACTTCAAAAATGCCAAGCAAATGCCAATACTCCAGCATCATCATTTAAAAGCGTTCATTTTCTTATAATTTACGGGTGCATCGACCCCAACTGAACAAGTAACTAATGATCATATAGCAAATGACTAAATTACCTTCAAAAATCGAATACCATGTAAAGAGAAAGCATGGGAAATGGGCTCCGAGGATACAAATACAGAGAGGCCCTGCAATCCAAACTTATCCCTCTGCATGTACCTCAATGCAGAGTTCAAGAACCAAGCAATCCAATGATCGCTATCACCAGAAGACGCAGCAGCAACAACAGCAAGTTCTCGACACCTAGTATCATAATCTTGTAATTCGCCACATGATTCAAGTTTCCTCCTCCACTTTTTCCTCAAAAACTTCTTGCCAAACCTCGTATCCTCTGAAATGCCAGTACTTTTTGACTCCATCCTCTTTCTCTTTCTACTATACACAATTCCATACATCCTGTCCTCATTTGCTGCCTCCACTGCGCCCTCAACCTCCCAAGTTTCTAATTTGCTTTCTGTAACCATTCGCAAGGGGAGATCGTTTTCGTTTTCATTTTCATTTTCATCCCATGTGCTTCCCTTGCCAGGGCTGCCGGCATCCCCTCTACCGTCCCCGGAATTGTCTGCGAGTTCAATCCACTCATTATCCCCATTGATCGTTCTTATGTACTTCCCGCCCTCTACTAGTCCCCTCCACACCCTCCTTCCTGACTGCAAGACCGTCCCGAACACCCTCGTACTCCATCTCATTCCCACTGAAGGCATGAAAGCCTACTAAATGGTGGGAAAGGCCTGAATCAATCTTTCTAGTTGCTTTTCTTTATTTCGAACCGCCTTAAAAGAATAAAACCCATGGAGTTATGATAATGGTAAGCACTCGATTTCTTTTTATTTATACATTTTTCCCGAGGCTACGTACTCAAATTCAGTTGACTATGGGAAAAACTGGGAGAAGAAGGAGTCAGTTACTAGCCGAGTTGACTCGGTACGTGACCCGGCTTTAGATTGAAACAGAGAATCAAGAACTCAGCAACCCACTTACAGGATTCAGCATCCCGCGGCACGAAACTGTCCAAACAACCCAAACTCCGATCCCAGACACCGTAATCGGTCCCAACTCAGGAACCACCACTCAATTAATGCGATCCACAAACTCCTGCCCTTCGTAGCATGAAACAAAATCCCCTATGCTGAGCATACAAATTCACACTCATAACTGAAACTCGGTCACCACCTCAATTGACTTGGTTCAATTTAACCCAACTCTGACCCTCAGACAACAGTCACACCACAGACACTTTCACCATATGTTCTTCTAATACAAAAGAACCCATCAAATAATTCCTTCCATCATCTCATTGAACACCCATTTTACTACTTTCCGAAAAATTCCATCAATTTTTTTTTAAATATTTATTTAACGAGAAGGGCCTAAGGAGAAACTCGAAATTAAAGTCTCTCAGGTTTTAGTTCATTGTTTTGTGGGGATTATGCAGTTCACGTTAAGTTGGCTGCGGGGAAAATGATGTTCAGCCTGCCACAGTGCCACGTTATATGTAGGGTTTATAAGCATCGATAAAAACCAGTAAGAATAGAAGGTGACCGGTGACTGATAAGATGGCCGTTCGATGAAAAGATTTGACGGATGAGATTTTAAAAAATTCTTGGACTTTTGTCAATAGTTTGAGAAGCCGTCGAAAATTTAAGAATTAAATGACGTGCTTGGCCAATCATAAAAGATTTCCGCACAAATTAGTAAATTTTTATGTAAATATTTTTTGTATGAAAAAAAATGTGACTTTGAATGTTTACAATTCGAGCAAGCAAATGGCTAGCAGGATGGATAAACTACAATGAAGGGAGGATAGGAGTTACATAAGAATCCGATGAAAGATATATGTTTTTCATCATTCATGCAAGTTTGATTTGAAGTATTAAAATTCTTTTAACGGCTAGTTATTTTCACGGTTATTTTTTATTAAATGAACTATTTGGAGCTTTTTGTCAATTATTGTTTGTTATTCGATATTCTTGTGTGAATCAGTGAATTGTGATCGAGATTATTTTTCTCGTTCGTTTCTTTCTACGTCAGTTGATATCGGAGGTAGTTATGTTCTTGATAGAGACATGCAGGTGTTCGTGAAACCTTCTTTGATGCAATTTAGTATCGAATGAACATATGACACAAATTTAACAACGAATTTTTCTGTTGGAACAACACATGGATGGTTGAAGGCACAAACAATGGATATTGTTGAGGGTGCCATTGAAGGTGGTCGACTTGAGAAAAGTGACTATATGGTAGACACAGCAGAGTTGTAGGTGCAAATGGTACGACAATTGATGTGAAGTTTGTTTTAGAGGACTCAAGCAATGATGGTTATCGTTTTATCTCTTTCAATCCCGATGAACTAATTAATGATAGTTTAAATGAAGATTACAACAGTACACCTATTTTTGACGTTGCAATTGAAGAGGAAGACAAAGTGATAAATATATCATCACTATCAAATCTATTCATAGATGCAAAATCGATGAGTGAAGATTTGGTTTAGCCTAGATCAAATAAAGTTGGGCTTGGTACCTTGCGAAACATTGAAACATCTATGAACACAAATAATTCGAATAAAGTTTATCTTTTGAAGAAGGGTCAAAGCTTGATTCTCGAGATGGAAAATGGTACGTTAAATGGAGTAAAATTAGTGAATGGTGTAAATTTGCGAATAATTTGAAATGCTTTATTGGTTAATGCACCAAGGATACCTCAGAAGCCGAAGCAGGTTGATCTGGAGGACACGATTCTATTAATGTAATTTTCAAATTCTTGCTATTAAAAGCCTTCAAGGGTGAAGCAGTTGGGAGGTATCGAATTTGATTACTGTACAAGATCTGAGGACAAATCTTCTTCAAGTCGAGGAGAATGATACAATATTAACCTAATATCTTGCTTTAATTATTTCGCTGTTTTTAATTTTATTTTGTCTTCCTAGTATTTCTTATGTCAAAAATGGCATTTTTGTCCTTATATTGTTGCCATAGGGTTTTTTCTTGGGCTTGTCATAATTAAAACTCATTTAAGGCTAGTTGTTTTTTGAATTAAGTAAAATATTTTGGAGCTTTTGACCCAATTATTGATGTCATGTGATATTGGTGCGTAAATTAAAGCATTATAAGTGGAATTATTGTTTTTGCTTGATTCTGTCTGCATCTTGCAATTAGATATTTTTCTAGTATGGTTGGGGACGATCTACATTTATTGCTTTCAAGTTGATTTTCCAATGCTTGACGAATAGACGAGTGTAAATTTCCAAGTGGATTAAGGCTTGAATCACTATGTGAAATGATGTGTAGCATGGAGGACGCGGGTTCACCAATGATACAAGATGGTGAACTCCATGAACAGTGCCGTAGATTTTCGAGACCCGAGGCTAACCTTAGAAGTTGAATCCTCAAATTGTAGTATGCATTGA